GTATTGCATATAGACGCTAACACGCACACATACACATACGCATACGCTCGAGCAAAATCAACAGGACCACTATTAAAGACAATTAACCAAACCAATATATATCTATTAATCTAGGTTTTTATTTTCTTTTGGTTCAATTAAGTCTATATAAGAAGTAAGATAGAGCTGGATAGTGTTCTTGCCTTAGTCTTAACGTGAGACTTTTACAAGAATGACACTCAGCTCTGATACTGCCCATTATATGATGGACGAAAGCTCAGCACGTTTTTACTCGAAACGTGGGAGGAAGTCTCGTGGACTGCGTCAAAATGAATATCGTATAAAAGCCAAACGACTGCAGAATGAGATTTATCGGTCCTCATCTGATGAGATCGACCAACAAATCTCTTCTTCATGCACTTTCATACAAAATGAAAGTCCCCCTAACAATAGTCCCTTTTCCTTTACAATGGTGTACGTGATTTCCAACATCGGAAAATTTACTTGGTACATTTCCTAATGTTTCGCCAGCATCATAGTCGGTATTATCAATGAGAGATTCCACCGTCAGCATAGAGCTACAATTAATTAGTGACCAATTTTCTGTGAATATTAAGTGGGGTCGAGAGAAGGATGCAGCACTAGAAGGTAGAACAAAAAATAGGAGCGAGGAGTGATGCCACAACGATTAAACAGAAAATTTGCTAAATAGCTTGCTTTAGCTTGTCACTTTGATACGTTATAACTCATGAAACATTTGATAATGTACCAAATAAATGGTCCGATGCTGGAAATCACGTATACTATGGCAGATGACACAGGGCTAGATACGTTCCAGAAGGTCCCCCTGATGTTCCGGCCAATTCGCGAAAACTAGATCGAACCAACACTATAAATTATATAGCTTTGATTATGTATTTAAAATTTATACTTTGGCTTATACTTCATAGATTTTGTAAAGAAACAATTAGTATCTGAAGCATTATGGAAGTTTGGAAAGGTATAACAAATATTCATCAATTTGTGGGCTTAGAATAGATAACTGGTTTTCGAATGATAGAACAAGGCTTAAAGTGTGGCAACTCACCAACTCTTCTCCGACATTCAGCACTCCTGTCTGAAGTCCGTGCTCATTAGCATCTCCTCCGATGGACCACCCTTCGGTTCTGCCAAAAGCACCAGAGCCAGATTCGCCCTGTTCATCTTCCCCCTCTTCAGCCTGGCTGGCATCACCTTCCATCTCGACAACAGCTCGCTTTAGACCACCCATATGCGCTTCGTAGGCTTCTCCAGCAAGCCCATTTCCACGAAGGCTAGAATTACCATTGGTAATATCAGGATAACCATTCGCCCCGCCAGCTAGGTGACTTGAAGACACATTCGAGGTGCTGCAGGTGAAAGGGGCGGCGGCTCCAACGGGGCCGTTAATAGCCCTCGAAGCAAGGGCACGTTGAAGGGCCAAGACGGAACGGAATCGACGCGGCAAGTACTCTTCACGAAGCTCAGTACGAACGGTGTAACGACCTAAAGGCAGACCAAGAGCGCCTGACTGTTCAGACGTATCCACCTAGAAAGAATGGTATTTTTATTTCAGGAAAATAATATAGATGAAGTAGACGATGGATAAAAGAGTTAATTTCAATAAATGATAAATTTATGTAGTTTGATGATTATATATAAAGCAATTAGAACGAGTTTAAGTTCAGATGTAGAAATAATGCAATAAATTACGTTAAGGTAATTCGAAATCATAAATAGCAAAGTATTTATTAGAACTAGGGGTTATGTGCAGCAAATAAGATTAGAAGTAATGCGAAAATCATAAGTTGTAGTAAGGTTTATGGTTTAAGTTTTAATGATAGTTATTTAGTAAATATGATCATATAAAAGCCGTAACTGTGGTTACGGTAGTGATGATGGTAGCAGTTGCAAAATAATGGTAATCATTTCCTTGTAAAACTTAGCATTTAATAATAAGATATTTCATTCATAAACTAATGGAATTAAGGGTACCTTAATTATCACAGCTCCAGTAGCATTGTTATCTTCATCTTCATCATCATCGTCTTCTTCATCTTCATCCTCGGCGTCCTCTTCACCAATTGGAAGCGCTAAGTCAGGTAATCTATTCCTCTCATCTGTTTCTGAATCGATGTCTTGATTAGCCGAAGGATTTAGTTTGACATCGCTAGAGGCATCAAACTGCCCAAGTCGAGTTGAATCGGAGTGCTCCA